AAGATAGGAATCAGAAGGAGACAGTTGACATTTCTGGAACACATAATGAGAACAGAGGGTTTGGAAGATTTAATTCTCACAGAGCATACTTGAAACAGGACAAGCACCAAGAAGCAACGAGTTACATATCTAACACATATGTATGAAGGAATAGCAAGGTGGAGATAATGACTCAATGTGGCTTACAGCGTTTTTCTTCTTTTTTAAAATCATTAAAAATTCTGTAGCATAACTACGGACGATAATGGGTATGTCCCCATTCACATAAATACAGTAGTGAATACTGTATGTTGATTTAAAGTTGGAGATTCATTGTGGAATTCACTTAACTCACTTCTAGCAGTTGACTACTTCTACGCACCGCTGGCGAATCTTATATGTGTTGTTCTTGTTCTAAGTATTATCGTTTATTAACAACCTTTGTGTGATTTTTTTTTACTCCGTAACCATCCCTAGGTTACAACAGAAAGTGAAAAAGAAAACTGAGAATAGGGAGGATTAAGGTAAGGGCAAAAGAATAACGGTATTCAGAAAATCGCGATTGATATTGCATTTAAATTTGATTGTAGTTATCAGGGAAGCAAGTAAACGGAAGGGAGTTTCACAGGTGGGAAGTGCGATAAAAGAAACTGTTGGAGTAAAAGTGGTGGTTGCATTTAGCTAATACAACAATAAAAGAGTGGGACATAGATGTCAGTCTAGTAGCACGTTTAAATTCAAGCTCGTCAGAATATTCGCCAAGAAAATATTTGTAGAAAAGACAGAGGGAAGCCACGTCGGTGTGAAAATGAGTGACGTCAGCATGCCTGGTCAAAATCGATTACATACATTACAGACCCTTTTTTTCAAGAATTTCGAGAAGTACAGCCGGAACACCATACGAGATATTGCAGCAGTATTCAATGCGTGGACGAATGGTAGATTTGTAAATGTGCAAGATGGATTCTGACAAGAAATGATATCTGGCATGATACAGTGACCCAACTTTCCTTGCGATAGATGCAGCTATTGATTCGGTGTAGTCACTCCATTTCAAGTCAATGGAAAATGTTAGGGCAAGAGGTCTAGCGTTAGCCATGTTGATGGTAGGCCGAAAATGTTCTCAACAAGGCTAACGAAGTTGTAGAGAGCCATGATCGCCTAATGATCAAGCAATGGAAACCTTGAACATCTGCACTCTTACCTTCTAGACCACATCTTTGGTACTTGAAATGCATCGTAAGTCTTATCCTGATTAATGGTTTCTCCAAGTTCCCACATTTCACAATACAATAGATAACTGAAGAAGACCAATATGTTTCCATCAAAAACATGGAAAAAAACAAATTTACAAACAAGGTGAAATTTGTCGGATTTAAATGTGTACGGTTATTTTCATTTCTTATACAGAAAAACGCCATCTTTAAACTTGTTAAGTTTATTTTTTGCCCGATTTAAGAGCTGGTTAATTCCTACTTTTGTTGGTTCGTAGGTTATGTTTAGCGACATATCAACCATTTTGGGTTATTTAATGCCGAAATCTAATTATTCTATATGTAATTTTATTTTTGGAGAAAATAATAGTTTAGTGAAATATATATATATATATATATATATATATATATATATTTTATATATATATATATTATGTATGTGTATAGCTGGCCACTCGTATTCGAGGACACCTGTCTACAAGGACGTCTAGCCAATCCCTATTGCAGACGCTTGCTCAGGCACATTAATGTTTATTCATTAGTTACAGGTTCTGGGAAAGAGCGTGTCATCTAGCATTATCAACAATTTGAACAAGGCCACGATGACTTGTCACTTTGTGGGCACATAGCAGAGTGGTTAGAACGTTTGCATTCTGACCATAAGACCCGGGTTCGAATCTCACCATGGTCGATTTGTCAGTAAAGAGATTTTCTGATGTTATCGGACTTGAGGGGTCTATTCCAAAGTGCCTGAAACCATACCACGGATTGACCAAACCCTTGTAAGTGAAATTGGATAGACGGAACCCTTAAGGCCCGTCGATATATATATATATACTATACAATACTTACGTCGGCCATTAATGATTAGATTGCGTTTGAAAAGATTTAGAATTCCTCTATATAAGTATCACATAAAATGGAACCTCGTACGCTTCATAAAATATGTATATTCAGAATCTGTCTATATTTCTGAGATGAGGTATTATGTACATTATTTACATTACTCGGACTATTGTCCTCATCTTTATCGCCATATTTATCACAACGTTTCGTAATAAGGAGTGCCAGAGAAAAGCAATGATAACAACATAGTTGCAATATGAGCTCTGGTAAAAACATGTAATGATAACAGAAAAATTGCAATATGAGCACTGGTAAAAATTGTTGCTGAAGATTAGGTTTATAATACTCAGAAATTCATACCCAGATGTCCTCAAGGACACATGGCACAGTGGATAAAGGCGTTGGTTAGATTAGATCCAGTGAGACCCGGTTAAGGCAGTGGAGAACTTTCAGAGGGAAATTAACAAGAGATAACTGATAACTGACATCCATCAAACATGGCACGTGGAACTAGAACAGTCTACCACGGTGAGCGAAATAAAGGGTTCTGTTCGACATTCCAACCACCTGAAGAAGGCCGGAGCGTACAACGGCCGAAACGATGTGATATATATGGCGACAAAGATGAGGACAATAGTCCGAATAATGTAAATAATGTATAGATAGTCAGTTATAAGATATGACACAGTACCGATAGCAGGCACGGAAGAAACTACATCCCCCACTGTAGAATGTAGTTAAAGAAAGCAGGAAGGAAGGACTAAGCATAAACTACAAGAACGAAGGCATGGTTATCACCAAAACGATGAGACCAGGTTGGTGTTCTAACAGAGGACGGAAAATGTGACACCGAGATCTGAAGTATTGGGATGACCAAAGAGGCATTTCAAAAACTAAGCGGACTATTAAGAGACAGAAAAATTTCGTCGGAAACAAAGAAAAGACTATTGAACTGTTACGCCATATCTGTCCTACTGTATGGCAGCGAATGCTGGACAGTCTGCTGAAAGATGAAAAGTGACTTCAATCAACAGAAAGATGCTGAGGATGCCAGTGGCCAAACATATGATCAACGACGAGGTTTCGGAGAGAATAGGAACAAAAAGGAAATCTATACTTAACATCAGGAAGAGGAAGCTGAACTGAGGCACGGCATGAGGAAGGAGTCCTTGGAAAGTCTGATAGAGGGAAAGGATAGATATAGGGAAAGATGAGGAGAAGAGAAAACAGCACGTAACATAATGGTGCTGAGCAAATGGATGGCAGAACAGGGTTGTTGTTTTTTTTCTTTTAAGCAAGTCACCCCCAAGCAAGGCGGGTGTGTCACTAGTACGCAAGGGGTTACAGAGAGAGAGAATAAATTCCTCTTTTGTGGTAATTTCACATTTTCTTATCATCTCTCAGTTTCGTCTCTGTCCTTGGACAGAGTGCTCTCAGGGTCTTCTCTGTCAAAGGACAGAGGGGCAACTGGGGAACAGCTGCCCGAGGCCGCGCCCTCCCATTGCGCAAGAGGGAGGGGTTGGTGCTCGCACCGAGGCCACCGCAACCGACGTTTTAGGGGGCTGAGGGGAATTTTTGTCCCTGCCCGAGTGTACGCGCTCGGGGCCCCACATTAATCCGACCTTGTGTCACATCTCATTCTCGTGGGGGAATGAGTAAATACCACAGAGAGAGAGAGAGAAAGAGAGAATAAGAGTAAAGAGGAGTGTTTGAGAAAAGGATAAAGAGAAGGGCAGGGATCAAGGTCAAGGCATCAGGTGATGTCGATTGACATTACATTTGAATATTTGAAGATTATAGCTATCAGGGAAGCAAGTGATAGGAAGGAGGTTCCACTGACGGGTGGTTCGACATAAAAAGCTGTTGGAGTAGAAGAGATGGCTACATTTAGCCGCTTCGACAGTGAAAGGGTGGGACCGAGATGCAACCTAGCAGCACGCTATTATGCAGTTTGGGAACCAGTGAAAGTAGCTTGTCTCAGCAGTTGCCATGAAAATACTTGTAGAAAAGAGACCAAGACTGTAATTGTCAAGGAAGCATTCTCCTAGCAACCACCCACGGCTGGAAAGCCTATTCTTTGCTAATTAACATATAGTTGGGCTTAGAAGGGACGGATGCATACCTTCTCCGAAAGGTATTTTTATTTGAAGTTGAATGCAAGCAACACGACTGAAACTGGAATTCTCAACGTCAATTTCGCATTCCGAGCCGCTAGCGATTGTGCCACCCACACCTATCCTGGTCCAGTATAGAATGTTAAGGGAAGCAAATGCTGAAGGGTGAATAGATTAACATAAAATCTGTTTGTTAAATCAAACACCCACTATACAGAGTCTTTGTGTCCATAAATGAAAAGTTTGCCTCAATAATAAACTGTCCCCAGTTTCAATGGCGGTCATAGCTAATACTGGCTCAGCAAAATCCTGACACAGTAAACATGTGTAATTATTTCGTCTCCAGGAATTAGTATATCACGACAGTGAACCGTTGACTGAAATAGATCAATAAGATACAGTTTGAATGAATGAAAACTAAGATAATCAATAAATTTTCCCTCTAGTGAGATAACAATATACTGTTCCTAATAATAAAGAAAATGTTATAATGATATCATATATTGTGAATTGTGTGCATCCTATAGGGTCAAAGAAAGATCATGTTGACGTCCGATATCGCCATAATTACAGTAATTGGGAGAGGATAAAAGAAAATAATAAAAAAATTATTAAAAACAAATAATAAACGTGCCCACGGAATTTTTTTTTTTTTTTTTTTGCTTTTGTCTGAATCGTTAACTGTCTAAAATAGTTCTACATGTCGCATGCACCAAGACGCAAAAAATAACATGTTTTTCACTGTATGAATTAACAATGTATTGATAAATGAGGATATTTAATATGACATTTTGCCATATTGATATAATAAACTCAATAACAATATCATCTTACGTGATTTACAAAGAACTCTCAAATTCTAACACTCATCTTCATCCCTCTTCCTTACTGTCACTATCTATCTATCTATCTATCTATCTATCTATCTATCTATCTATCTATCTCTCTTTCTCTCTCCCTCTTTCGCTCTCTCTCTCTCTCTCTCTATATATATATATATATATATATATCTGTCACTTTCTGGTTATATTTGTTAATCTATCTCATTCAGTAATCTATTTATCCCCTCTGCTTATATCTATCGATCTATTTCATTGAGTTTATCTATCTATCTATCTTCTGCTTATATTTGTTAATCTATCCCATTCAGTAATTTATCACCGTCTGCTTATATCTATCGATCTATATAAGTCAGTTAATATCTATCTATCTATCTATCTATCTATCTATCTATCTATCTATCTGTCAGTTTCTGGTTATATTTGTTAATCTATCTCATTCAGTAATCTGTCTGTCACATCTTATATCTATTGATCTATCTCATTCAGTTATCTATCTATCTATCTATCTATCTATCTATCTTCTGCTCATATTTGTTAATCTATCCCATTCAGTAATTTATCACCGTCTGCTTATATCTATCGATCTATATAAGTAAGTTCTATCTATCTATCTTTTTCTGCTTATATTTGTTAAACTATCTCATTCAGTAATCTATCACATCTTATATCTATTGATCTATCTAATTCAGTTATCTATCTATCTATCTATCTATCTATCTATCTATCTATCTATCTATCTATCTATCTTTTTCTGCTTATATTTGTTAAACTATCTCATTCAGTAATCTATCACATCTTATATCTATTGATCTATCTCATTCGGTTATCTATCTATCTATCTATCTATCTATCTATCTATCTATCTATCTATCTCCATCAATTCATATCTATTTATCAGTGGAGAAACTGGGTCATCAATGCTTGTCGGGTTCATTACAATCTTTAACAAAATATGCAATTTGTATGACTTAGATGCTAAATTTTTTTCACTCTAACTAAAATACATAATTTTTTAAAAATCTGTGTGCATGAAATTAAAAAAATAATTTTGGTAATGTAATATTACTTTTAATAATTCTATAAATATAAACATCTATTTAAAAGATATTTTTCAGAGATTTAAGTAAAAAGAGTCAGACCAAAGTCTTTGAAATGTTTGTTTAATGTCTCCTTTTCATTTTTTTTTATTGTTTTATCAAGTCACTGATATTAGAGATAGGAAGAATTGACTGATATCATATTTCCTCAAAACTAACCCAGTCACACTTCTCACACCACTCCTCCAGTTCACGAGTTAAACTGCTAATTTCTTTTATTTTCGCCGATTTTAAATGAGGCTAAATTTAATCTGCCCTTTTTCACTTGCTATATTCCACTAGAAAACCTTATACTGTAGAGTATAATTTTTTTAAAATGGACATTTGAAAACAAGTTAAAATAAAACTGTGTTCTTTGAAAAATAGGGTATAGACGTCATTAGAGATTTTAAAAAAAGTTTATTTATAAAATTAAAGAAAAATACATCGCTGATTAAGTATCTATGCAGCTGCGGTAGGGCTCAGATCTACACAACCCGACTAACCATGTAAATTTTATCGCATTCATTTTTTTACTCAATTTCGTTCATTGTTTTTCTTTCTTCTTTCTTTCTCCTTTATTATGAACAATATAAATGAAATGTATTTCGGTCAATATTTTGAGGCACGGAGGCACTACAAATATTTTTGTTGGTTTGAAATAGATATTCTTCAGTACTGACTCACATGGGCTAAGACCGACAAACCCGAACCCTGCTATCTCTCTATCTGTCTATTTCAATTCGTTCATATATATATATATATATATATATATATATATATATAGTGTGTGTGTGTGTGTGTGTGTGTGTGTGTGTGTAAAGTATACTTTTTATTAAATTCAACCGACAATGAATGTCTTTTAAATAGTTTTATTTTATTCTTCGCATTTTCGTATAAGATGTACAGCGGGATAAAAAACCGTTAATAAATTGTCCATGCCTTTTTTCTGTTTTTATTTTATAATTTCGGCCATTTTATTCATTATAAGGGTCTAGTTAATGTCAGTGTACTGTACAAGATTTTGTTGGCTACATCCTGTCACCTTTTGGGAAAGCTATAATTGAAATTAGTCCAAAATGACGTCAGTACTAAAATGAATCCACTGAAAATATCAATTATTGATACTTACTATTTTATGAGTATTAAATATTTTACAGAAAATTTAAGAAACTGTCTCCTATGGGGAAACATATTTTATATAAAGTGCATTTAGTATTACTTTAATAATAACATCTAGAAGTTTAAGTCTTTCTTTATAGTGAGTGTTGTATATTAATTTGGTATTATCTATTAGTATTTATCGTATGTTGATACTTAAATATTGGTTGCATATGTGATGACTGTTAAGGCCACAATTTGCTATAAGTTACGACAAGTGTGATACAAATGCGGGGTGTCTTTCTCTTTCTTTCATTCTCTCTCTCTCTTTCTCTCTGCCTCTCTCTCTGTCTCTCTCTCTCTCTCTCTCTCTATATATATATATATATATGAATCATTCATACAAAAAACAAATATAGAGGTTAATGATTTAAATGGCGAGAATACATCTTCGCAAACAATATAAATAAGATACACCAACCCCGAACCTGTATATGAATGTTATGATCCCTGTTTATAAATTCCAGTTGCATAAGGTATTTTTAATGTTTTACAAGCTTTCGTCTGTTCCTATAGACATCCTCAGGCATGGAAATAGATTTTGTTCTTGTTTTTACTTCCTGGTAATAAGAGGACAACGAAAATAGAGATGTAATCCGAAAAAATGCTATGAGAAATGTGTTATTGTTTTGGAATGTGCAGTTGCAACGCTGAGTTTGAATTTAAATGTTAAGTTGTGCGTTTTTGTACAAATATAGTAATAGGAGAATTCTTTTTTACTGATAGATTTTCCGTAAATGTGGCATGAACTATATTGTTCAATAATTACAGTATATATATATATATATATATATATATATATATATATATATATACGTAATACAAATGAAAAAATAGTAAAATCGAGGCAACTCATTTAGCAACTACGATTGTGTTTCTTTATATACGTTCGTGTATGTGTGTGTGTGTGCCTGTAAGACCAATTTGTGAATGGTAGGGATTATTCAAAGGAGGATATTAATGCAAAGAACTCAATGGAAATTTAAATTACATTTATATATATATATATATATATATATATATATTCATGAATTATTCACACAAAAACAAATGCAAAGGTTAATGATTTAATTGGCGAGAAATCCATCGTCGCAAACAATTCAAATAATATACAAAAACCCTCCGAATCCGTTACGAATGAAAAGATCCTTGTTTCTATAAATTTCTGCCGTATTAGTTCTTATTTTTACTACAAGCTTTCGTCTGTTCCTACAGACATCTTCAGGTATGTAATAAATGTTGTTCTTGTTTATTCTCTTAGTAATAAGAGGACAACGAAAATATATGTATTGTTGTATCCGAAAATGCTATTGGAAATGAGTTATTGTTTTGGGAGCGCAGTAGCAACGCTGAGTTTGATTTTAAATTTTTTTACAGTTGTGCGTTCATGTACAAATATGGTGATATACGAATTTTTACTGGTAAATTTTCTGTCAAAGTGGCATGAACTATATTGTTCAATAATTACAGTAATGTCGCACTTACTATCCAAAAGTCGCACTTGGATCAGTTATTTTAATTACGATAAACGTGCACGTTTATCGCAATATATATATATATATATATATATATATATATATATATATGTTGTAGCATACCTACGGACGATAATGGGTATGGCCCCATTCCTATAAATACAGTAGTGAATACTGTATGTTTTGGTTTGCAGGTCTGTTGTTAGATATTCATTGTGAAATTCACTTGACTCACTTCTAGCAGTTGAATACTTCATCTATTATTTGATTGAATAGCCGGCCACTCATATTCGAGGATACACGTCTACTAGGGCGGCTAGCCAATCCCTATTGCAGACGCTTGCTCATGCGAATTTGAACAAGGCCGTAACGCTCAAGCCCTCGGCCACGATGACTTGTAACTTCGTGCCAGCACAGCTATCGACGGCCACCAAGTGTTCAGTTTGCCCAATTTCTCTCACAAGGCTTGGGTCAACTCGTGGTATGGTTTTCAGGCACTTTCCAAAGGTGCCTCACGCTTGAATCAACCTCTCAAGATAACACCAGTCTCCTCCCTGACAAATCGACCATGGTGAGATTCGAACCCGGTCAGAAAGCGAACCTTCTAACCACTCGGTCACGTGCTCCTAATAGTATTTGATTACAAATAATAAAATGTGTACTTAATTCCTAAATTTTTAATTTTAATTTTAATAATAAAATATCTAATACCATTAAATATAATAAATATAGCATTTCAGATCTTTATAATTAAAAATATAAATATATGAAATATGATTCAATCATATTTCAAAGCTCTTTAAGACAGCCCCAATATATTTGAAGAAATAAATAAATAAAAATGCCAAAATTAACCCGTGTTTCGATACAAATAACTCTCAGTATTTAATGTCTCTTATATATGTTCCCAAAAAAGGTAGACAGGATGACACGTCTCATACACGAAATCTCGTATCAGCAAGCAGAATTTACATAACTATACCAAGCCTTTAACCTATATTTTTCACTTTTCCATCTAAGTTTAGACCTGTTCCCGGATTCGTCAAAATAGGCAACACCCATTTATAATTTTGAAATTTCACCACCCATCCAACTTAAACTCGGAAATCTTATACTACTTTGCTAAAATAATAATGAAAAAAAATTATGAAGTTATTCAACATCGCTTGATAATGGAACAAAAATTAAAATTATATTTTAAGTTCCGAGACTCAGTAATTTCTGTCACGATGAAAACATATTTTAGATAATATATATATATATATATATATATATATATATATATATATATATATATATATATAAATGGACGGGTAACTGAATGACATAATGAAACATTATTAGATCAGTTCGTATTAAATAGTATTAAATGTTTTATTCATGATATATATATATATATATATATATATATATATATATTTAACAATAAAATATATTAAAAATTTATTACAAAATTAAAATCTTCAGACACACTGGGTTGTAAATTAATATTCTTTCGTTTTTTTTATTATTATTTCATTTAGATGCATACATATATATATATATATATATATATATATATATATATATATATATATATATATATATATATATATATATATATATATATATATATATATATATATCCATGAATAAAATATTTCACGAACCCTACTGTATTTGGATAAGTTGTCGAAAAGTTCAATTTGGAATGACCTTGCTAGAAAATCAGCAAAAATCAGAAATTTTTTGAATAGATGCATGTATGTGAATGCACTTGAATAACATGACATCATTGGAAATGACGAAAATACTTCAGCAATGTTGCTGACTACGGTAGATTTTTAATCTTACTAAGATCAGAAGACAGATTATTGCGAAAACGAAAATATTAATAAATTCTTTATTATACACTGATTTGTTCGGACTAGTTCCCCCATATTCATTTTTATTGATAAAAAACAAATATGAGGACTCTAGTCCGAGCAAATCAATAATAATAATGATCATTCTCATTTAAAAAAATGATGATCAAAATAATACAATCTGGATAGATAGATAGATAGATAGATAGATAGATAGATAGATAGATATTGAGAGACAACGATATATATCGAGATATATATATATATATATATATATATATATATATATAAGCATACGAACAGATAGATCTATAGATAGATAAGCAGACTGATAGATAGATAGATAGATAGATAGATAGATAGATAGATAGATAAGCAAACTGATAGATAGATAGATAGATAGATAGATAGATAGATAGATAAGCATACAGACAGGCAGATAGATAGATAGATAGATAGATAGATAAGCCAAATGATAGATAGATAGATAGATAGATAGATAAGCAAACGGATAGATAGATGGATAGATAGATAGATAGATAGATAGATAGATAGATAGATAGATAGATAGCGAACGAAGGGGACAAATTGTATATTGATAGGATGTTGGCCTATTAAACATCTATATAGACTTTCGTCTCTATTCAGTTGTTATTACCGGATCCTTCCTCCGAGGCACGCTGCAAATCAAGTACAATGTCATTACTGCCTTAGCATTTTTTCCTTATCGTCTCAACACAGATAAGGAAAATGCTAAGACAGTAACGACATTGTTCTCACTGAAATCTATAAATGATTCAATTTCATTAAATCAAAAATAATCTAAAAAGCAAAAAAAGGTTGCAAATAGTCAAGATTATGTCAAGAAAATACTTATAACAGCAGATACGATCAGAATAAAAATTGATTTGATGCGTCTTTTACCAAAAAATAAAAATCATCTCGACCAAACACGAACGGACTCAATATATTTTTGTCTTCAAGATACGTCATCGACTATTTCTTTTTATCAGTTCTACACACACTTCTCCAAAAAATACTATGTCCTGGGTATGACGACAGACTACATCAGGCAGCAAGACGTCTGATCGGGAGGTTTTGAGGAACGTGGAACCACCGTTTAATTTTTGTTGTTTTCTTGTCCACCCTCAACCGGAGTGATAGCATCTATTATGGTCCCAGCTATGTGAACCCCTAAACTGGGGTCAAAATATACGAAAGTATTAAAATAGATTTTTATAATAAAAGTACCAGAAATACAATTTAAAAAAAATATTGCCAGCAATAGATTTAAAAAATAATGCCAGAAATACATTTTCTGAAAAAAACAAATGTTACCAGCAATACATTTTTGAAAAAAATGATACCAGCAATAAATCTTTGAAAAAGTGAATATTACCAGCAATATACCTTTTTAAAAAAAAGTAATATTACCAGCAGAACATTTTTGGAAAAAAAATACCAGGAACACATTTGATTATCGACAAAAATACTCTTTACAAAAATACCTCAATGAAACCTCATCTACAAACTGATTTATTAAAAAGGATACATATTCTATTTATACAAACCTACCCTAAAAATCTTACCGGCATTAAATAAGCCATTATTTAAAGCAACCAAAAAATAATCAATATTTCCTCGTAATGTTATTGATCCTTAAGAAAGTAATTATGTTTTATCAGAAAAAGAATATAAAAAAATAAATTTAATTTAATTTAATTTTACATTAATATCGCAGTCCCAAATTAACGGCAAGGTCTGATTAATTTACAGTTGAAATGGTTACATGTATCCTTAACTTTTTTCTTAACAGTTTCTTTACGAGCATTTATGGCTTGTAGAACTCTGTTCCGGTTTGTTATTTTTCAGTCAATTTTGCTCTTCAATAATTTAAATGCAATGTCAAGCGTTGTCTTCTGTCTTCTTAATTCATGTTTTGGTTTTATTGCCTTACGTAGAGTGAAATGATACAATAAACCTTAGGCTGTTCGGAAAGTAATTAAATTTTACCAAACAGGATACAAAATCAAATGTAACACCTCAATCACGTCATTAGACTCTTTGTCTCACGTCACAAGACTCTTTTCTCCACGATACTACACACTTTGTCCTACGTCACTACACACTTTGTCGCACGTCACTACGCTCTTTGCTCCACGTCACTACACTCTTTGCCCCACGTCATTAGACTCTTTGCTCCACGTCACTAGACACTTTGTTCCACGTCACAAGACTCTTTTCTCCACGACACTACACTCTTTGCCCCACGTCACTAAACTCTTTGCCTCACGTCACTACACACTTTGTCGCACGTCACTACACTCTTTGTTCTACGTCACTATACATTTTGTCGCACGTCACTACACTCTTTGCCCACGTCACTACAATCACCAGTTCTACGAAATTGACTGTGTGCCTCGACCTACCCTGGTGATGACTTAAGAAAGTCGAAAGTTTGGGCCATATTTTATTCTGAAATGAACTTTGGACAATTTTTGACAGAACTTCCTCTTTCTCTGAGAAGGATTATTCGTAATTTGGAAAAGTCAGTATTAGACTTGATCAACATTAACTTGAACGATTCACAAGACTCTTTTCTCCACGTCACTACACTCTTTGCTCCACGTCACTACACCCTTCGTTGCACGTCACTACACTCTTTGCTCCACGTCACTAGACTCTTTGTCCCACGTCACAAGACTCTTTTCTCCACGTCACTACACAATTTGTCGCACGTCACTACACTCTTTGCTCCACGTCACTACATTCTTTGTCCCACGTCACAAGACTCTTTTCTCCACTTCAGTACACTCCTTGCCCCACGTCACTACACTCTTTGCCCCACGTTGCAAAACTCTTTGTCCCACGTCACTACAATCACCAGTTCTATGAAATTAACCGTTTTCCTCGACCCACACTGATGATGACTTAAGAAAGTCGAAACTTTGGGCCATATTTCTTCTGAAATGAACTTTGGACAATGTTTGACAGAACTTCCTCTTTATCTGAGAAGGATTATTCGTAATTTGGAAAAGTCAATATTTGACTTGATCAACATTAACTTGATCGATTCAAGCTAACATACCGAGATGATCCTCTTAATCACTTTTTTTTAAAACATTTCAGCTGATGGTGAAGGTTTTTACAAAATATCAGACAGGAGATTAAATGGTAATATTTCTAGTTTGTTTTGTGCTAATAGTCTTCTTACTTTTGTCATGCTCATCTTCTGTTTGTGCAAATAAAGTATATCTCTCCCTGACCACTTTTGATTCCTTGGTCTGTAATTTTTGTATGTAAATGTTGCGTCCATTTTGTTTTGTTTTTTTTGGTTTTTACCTCGAAGTGTAATAAATCAGAAGCCACAAGACAATATATTTTCTGAATGTAGAGGAAAGCCTCATATGACCTCTGAATATTAAAAATCGAATCATGGCTGCTAAGATCTTGTTGGTGTATGCCACACACAAATAACTGAACAAGAAAGAACAATCGCTTCCTCGATTTTGTAAATTTCAAACTCAGTTTCACCGAATCCATTCTTTTTCTCCATGGACGTAGTATAGTTTCTTACCCCATGACAAATAGGGTGAATAATGAACCAATCGAATCGTTCTAGTTTGTTGTTCGAAATTCCTATGCTTGTAGTCTCTAAATGGAAATATAAATGAGCTTGGCAATGCATAAATCAGTAGACGCACTCACTTGAACGGAATTCCGCTTTGGCTACAGGCTACTTCAAAGAAACTGTCTTCAATCGTCCACCCACTTTTTACCGACAAACTTACGCCCAAGGACACGGATAAAAGTACAACCTACCCTCAATCTCTCTCTCTCTCTCTCTCTGTTTGTATGTATGTATGTGTGTATGTAAATCTCCTCTCACATTTTAATGCATATACACACTGGCCTTTCATTTAAACACAACTATCCGAAAAGAACATTTATTTTCCTGGTAAAAATTTTCGTCGTCAACCAACTTTAAATTACAAAACATTGCTGTTTTGTATCTGAATTATTTTGAAAGTGATAAAGTATTCTACCAATTTTTATTAGGAGACATATGGCTAATCTAAACAGGTATCCAAATAAATATTTTTCCTTGATTGTCTGATTTAATGACTCGTTTTCTACGATTTATTAACCTTTTTCAGGTTATTTAAAGCCAGAAAATATTTTATATTGTATTTTTTTTTTTTTGTGGGAGGTGAGGATAATAATAAGTTTGTTACTAATTGACACATAAATGGAATTGAAAATCGGTTCTCTGATTAACAATTCGGAACCATTATACATTACACCACGCGCACATCCAAGTTTACAGCACCTGGTACTCCCAAGCGATCACCGATCTAGTTACTGACCGGATTCGGCGTTGCTTAATTTCGGTGATCGTATGGGAAACGGTGGCTGTAAAAGGTCGGTGCCCTTCATGTTTATTGGGTAATAATGAAAAGAGCTGTTACAGTCGTGTAACAATTTTTTGACAGTGTGTAAACCTTGGATTTAATGTTACTGCCAGTAAAAAAAAAAAACAGAGAAACACTCAATAAATTGCTGCTTTTTATGATGAATCACGACTCTTATCATTGAATAAGCTCTTTTTATGAACATAGAATATATCCTTGGAAATTTCCTCATGGCATCGTTAAATATTTCAGCTTAACAAAATATAGCAATAAAAATGATAAATATGAATGCAAGTCATTATTTAAAGAAGTAAGAGGGTACAAATGAAAAGATTCAAAATTAACAATGTTTTCTTCTTGTTCTTCTTCGTCTTCTTCTTCTTCTTCTTCTTCTCCGTATTCTTCATATTATTATTATTATTATTATTATTATTATTATTATTATTATTATTATTATCTCTATCTATAAAAGGCAGGATGCGTATGTGTGTGTAACGAATGCACGGCCGCAATTTTCGACGGATTTGCACCAAAATTTACATGCACATGCTCCAAGTTAGCGGAAAGGCCAAGACCGACTTTGCATTTCCCAACTTCCATCGATAGTGGAAATAATCGATTTGTTCATGCTTCTACGGCAGTTTTCATGTAGTCTGTGGATATTTTCTGCTGGCCAGAGTGAGAGTCTATAGCTGGCTGCCACGAAAAGGTAGGAAGATTCGATTGGCCAGCGTGAGAACCAACAGCTGACTGACACGAATGTTAACTAGCATGCTAGTATGCAAAAAAAAAGAATCGATAGCTGCATTCGTCACAAGTGGGAGAAATTTAAATCTGCATGGCACTTTACTCCAATTGGCTCATTCGCTTGCTTAACCTCAACGTTGATTCTGATTGGATTGTGTGTGAAAAAGTATTTGTTGTTAACATTCTTTTTTCATTCGGTTTTTCCAGTTACTAGTCCTTTTTTTTTTAAAGCTGATCGTTTTGTGTTCATGTTGTTTATTTCTTTTTTCGTAACAGATTTAATGTTTAGTATAGAGCTTAGAAAAAAATCGCAATGTGAGATAGGCAAGAAGTAAGGTATGTAGAAACACCAGCACGGCAAAGGGCACTCCTTTAAAAGCAAGGAAGGGCATCAAGTGATAGCGATTGCTGTATGAGTCGTACGATTTTTGAATCAAGCACGGGCAACGCCGGGCCATGCTGCTAGTTATTATTATTATTATTTCCTTTGATATCTGGTGCATACTCACTACTTCCCGAGTCCTAACCAGAGACCTAAGGTGAAAAATGTTATCATGATATTTTCTACTGAACATTTTTTGAAAAAACAAAAACAAAAAAAAAATCACTTACATTTTACATAGAAAAGGCTCTTCGTAAGGTGTGAGCTGTACTTTTGAGTACAATTGTTTGTATTTCTTTAAGGTTTGAACTGCCAGGGATCCCTTCAATAAGTCCATCAGAACTTTTTCCAATCAATCCAAGGGCTCCAACTACAACTAGAATTGTTGATGTCCTAACGTTTTTGAGATTTTCGTTTGCAGATCCTGGTACTTTGCCAGTTTTTGGAAGACCTTCAATGATACATTGCGTTCTGCATGGACTGCTATGTAAATAATAAAAGACATTTTATATTCTTTGAATACAATGTCTGGGCGATTAGCTTTGATTGTCCTGTCTGCATGTATTGTAAGGTCACATAAAATTTTTACAGGTCCTCTGTCTGTAACCGGGTCTTCGTGGTGTTCATACAAATTTCTTGTAGTTTGCTTCTCGTAATAGTTGCTTATTTTCCAAAAAATATTATTATTATTATTATTATTGTTATTGTTGTTGTTGTTTTTTATATTTTCTTTTTTCACGGAAACCAAATAGCCTCTCTAATATAACTTTTTCTTCCTTCTTATCTAGCAATCGAAATGGTCCATCACTTATTTGAGGCAATGTTATGGTGTAATACACGTACTAACTAACTTACTACTGGAGGAACAAACAGAATTAAAATCTGATAATAATTGTCAGATTTTAAAAATATCTTATTTCGTTCACATCGTGAGAATGCCCTTGGAAAAGAACAGTAATCAGTCTTCCTCCAGCTATAGGTCAAATATAAGGACATATTCAGCTCTTTTACCGTAGGTGGTAGCCAGTTTAAGAGAAAGAGAACTTGTCATTTCTTCCGAAAAGTGTTGTTGGTTTGAAACAAGCATTCACCACTGCTCTCAAATCATCTAATTGGATTGTCTAGCGGTTAAGTTTTGGGGGCCTTCATGCGTTAAAAAATGAAGGCGAATCCACCAACATCATATACAGACTAAAGAACGATTAACAGAATTTTGGGTCTGAAAACCAAGAGATAATCAGTGGAAGATAAAAAGATAGATGGCGATAAAAAAAACTGTAAAAATTATGATAATTAAAAAAAAAAATAAGCAGAGATCGAATAAAAGAAAGATAAGGAAGAGGATAGAGAAGATAATATTTGTGCATTCTTTATTCCTTTTCTACATGTGGAACTTTTCTATGTATTATTTAAAAAAAAAAACGTGTACTGGTAATGACCATTGAAAGGGACAAGGGAAAGAATGGGAAGATACATTGAAAGGTAGGAAAAGGGACAGATGATAGTTGTTATCAACAACCTTGGAATTGTTTTACCGGTTCAGCTCGTTCTCTAGAAGGCGTACATATATTTATACGACATTTAAAATGTTTGCAACTTATACGAAGAACCCCTGATACACTTTTTGTCTTGTTTATTGATAATATATATATAAAGTCATAAACCCAGAATCTGCCTTACTTTTTCGATCTTGAACTTTTCAGATCGTGATTCAGTAGTTTTTATCCTTTTAATCCTCAATTTAATTCCATTTCTCACGTTCTTTTTTTTTACTTTTTCTACAGTCTACTTTGAGTGGCTCTCGGGTGTTGCATTAGTTGACATTTGGTATATAAAAAATTCAGTTATAATCTATTTTTCACCGATTATAATTAGACTAGTTGACGCTTTCTGGCAAATCGGTAAATAAGATCTTTCCTTTCGCCGATTGGTTTGGTTTGGTTTGTTTTGTTTTACGACATATCGGCCTCAATGAGTTATCTAATGCCAACAATATTTTTTCCAAAAAATGTATTTCTGATATTTTTTTAAATGTATTGATAGTAATAATTTTCTTTTTAAAAAAGTGTACTGCTGGTAATAATGTCTTGTAGGGAATAATTTTATCTTCAAAAATACATTTCTGGTAATAATTTTTACCAAAAAATTATTACTAGCATTAAAACCTATTTTTATACTTTCATAGTATTTTGAGTTAACTATTTTCCCCATAGCTGGGACCCTGACAGGTGCCATCACCACGGGTCAGGGTGGACCTGAGTACACCAGGAATTAAGAGGTGGTTCCACGCTCCGCAAAACCGCCTGATCAAAGACCTTGCTGTCAGATGTATTTTATCGTCTTAACTGCACGCGGGTATAGTTTATCGTCATATACAGGCGGGGCTTTCGCAGTGATAGGATCGTTGTTTACAATCGTTGATGATAATACATTAAAGTATATGCTTTTCATTAAACACATATATTACATCTTTGAAAATGTTTGGTGACTAGTGGATTCAAGACGTTAGGGGATAAGGCTTATTCGAAAGATTATTTAGGCGCCATTGACATAAATTAAAGCTTAAAAAGGCTTCCGGGACAATATTACTTTTTAAAATCTATATTTTAAACAATGATATTGTTTTTTCCTTGAAAGGAAAGTGTCGATGCCCTCAGCTCTATTAGTGTTGTAGAAAATTATGTATTAGAGCTCATGTGTGGGCCGACACGCGTAACATGAAGCAATGCCATGAAGCAAAATGAATCGATCTGGTTTGATATGTAGACAGAGAGTGACTCTATAGTCGTTTTATTTACTTTGTGCGTAGGGTGCAAGACTATATTTTGACAGGATAGACGTTGATCTAGGAAGGAAATTGAATGTTTCGATTAGTTTTTGTCCGAAAACAGAATGATTGACAATGGAGAAGAAATAAATGATACAGAAAACGCATCATAAATTGAGGATTCTTTGAAAAGGAAAGAAATTAAATAAATCTATCTGTTGTCTGTCTATCTGTCTGTCTGTCTGTCTGTCTGTCTCTCTCTCTCTCTCTCTCTCTCTCTCTCTATATATATATATATATATATATATATATATATATATATAAATTCTATTTTTATTTCCGGAGTTGTTTTTCTGTTTTTTTTTTTGAATTTGTAAGTCTGATGAATTGGATCGTATTTACGATTCCAATGGAATAAATTATGACCATGGAATATTAGTGTTTAAGCCTTTTTATTATATCCTTACTCTGTCCTGGACATTGAGTTCTATCTGGATTCTATCCTCTTGGAATTTTTATTCAAAAATATACTTGTATGCATCTATATTTTGCATATGTATGTGTATATTTACCACTATATATATATATATATATATATATATATATATATATATATATATATATATATATATATATATATATATATATATTGTTTATACTTTATTTTTATAGATACAAATATTTAAGTAAATGTTCTGTTGATAATAAACAGTATTAACAACATTTACCGGCCTGATTGCCCGAGAAATTTGAAAGAAAATATGCGCCCTCCGACAGGAATTGAACTCTATCCTACAAGGGAACACCATATAGCCTGACGTGCTATGCCATTTAGCTACAGATGAAGCTTCTGGTTAGCAAGGTGAAATTACTGTTTTTGAACTAGACGCTTCCTCTGTAGCTAAATGGTATAGCACATCAGGCTATATGGCGGTTCCCTGTAGTATGCAGGTTCTATTCCTGTCGGTGAACACATATTTTCTTTGAGATTTCGAGGACATTCAAGCCGGTAAATTTTGCTAATACTGTTTATTATGAACTGAACCCTTACTTAAATATATACTAGTGAAACACCTATTATATACACGCACACATTGTATATATT